CTCGGACGCGGGTCGGGCCGGCGGGGAGTTCCGGTAGGCGGAGGGTGGGGCGGCCGAGCGCGGCTTACTCCCCAGCGGGGTCAGCAGGGCCCGGCCCGGCCCGCGCCGCGCCGCGCAGGGCTGCTGGGGAAGTTGAGGCTCCCGGCCGCGGGCGGGGGTGGCGTGCTTCGGCTTCCAGGTGAGGAGGGCTGCCTGCGCTGCGGAAACCCTAACTGTCTGAAAAACACCTCCGCCGGCTCCTCGCGCACCCCGCCGCTCCATTCCCGGTCCCGTGCTGCCTCCTCCAGGCTCCCTGACTCCAACAGTCCCGCGGCTGGTCGGGCTAGCGGCTGCCACAGCCCAGCGCCACATCTGCCCGCAGCTTCGTAGGCAAAAGATGCAGCCTTTTATTCCCAGGCTGAGGTCGGTTATTTTAGAAACAAGTGGTTCTGGAGATGCTGGGGACTGTTAGGATAACCAGTGTGGTGCTTCCTGACAGGAGCGGTGATTCCTGTGCGTGTCTCTTGTTTTCCTGTCCCTCTCTCCCACAGAAACTTGGTATTTGAGACACGCCAGGTCGTTTGGAATAGTCTTAACAGCTGGAGATTGAGCTTGTGGCCCCTTTGGGTCCTTGTACCTGTCTAGATGTGTTAGCAAGGGATATATGGTCTTGGAGGAACCAACCACTTGCCCTCTCTGCGCCTCAGGTTTCATGTCTGGGAAGGGGATTCTACAAAGAGCCAGCTAGTCTGATAAAGACAGGAATAAGGTTTCTGGGGGAGAGAGGGTTTTTCCTAGTGTGGTGAGAGTAGCCACACAAACTCAGCCTGTTCTTATAAAGAAACTAACATAGACTCCAAATAAATGAGAAGATTCGAAAAGCAAAACAAAAAACCAATCATCAGTATTAGATTTACAATATAAGTTTTTTACTTGTGCAGACAAATAGTAGTGTTGGTCCTAGCCATCTATCTTTACTATAAAGTTGCTACCTGTATTACTTGTGGGCCTTCTTTTTTTTTCATCTTCAAGCTCAGTTGGTTTGTCTTGGGGCCTCACCTGAAAGACATTTTCCGGAGCTTTAGTTTTCATATCACAGGCTTCTTTGGATCTATCTGATGCTGGGATCCTTGTACACTTACACTTCTGCTTTTCTGCTCAGGCTTGAGCCGTGCTGAGCTGATTGCTATTGCATCTGTCACTGCTGAACTAACCTGTTTTCAAGTGAATGTAGTAAGCAAATAAGCAGTGCCCTTAGAGACAGCACATTAAAAATAGCTCCAAGAGATAGAGCACCCTCCCCCTGCCCCATTCCGTGTGTCCCCTTTGCAATCTCTCACTGAAATTCTGGGAGCATTTGGGTGCCATCGAATTGGAATGTCTGGATTTAGATAGCACATTAGTGATCAATCATGGTTCTGGATGGGGAGGAGTATTTTATTATAACCAAATACTTCTCTGTTTCCTTCCTAGTAGCCTTCAGAGTCTATATTGTGTTTGACCACATCATTTTCAATACTTTTGCATTTATTTTCTTTTTTGGTCAGTTTCTGGACAGCTATAGTTGTGGTTTTCTTGAGTTTTAGATGGCAGTAAGATGGTGTCTTCAGGCTTGACGGTTGGGTTCAAAATATCAGAAATGTGAATATGTGTAAATTTTGCTTTAGCTGGGAGCTATTAAATTAATAAAAATCGTGTTGCCAATAGTAGTTACCATCTGAGCTCCTGCCATGTATGGGACACTGAGTTAGGAATGAGCATCAGTTTCCAGGTGAGAAGACAAAGCTGGGATCCAGCACTGTGGCATGTTACAGTACCTTTGCACAAGTTACTGATGATTGCTGAGTCCATATAGATTAGTAACGCTAGAAAAGGAATTGCTAGCTGACCTAAGTGGTTGTGGCAATTAATGAGATCCTGTAAAGTGAATCCTTCTCTAACCCAGGACATTTTTAACATAAGTGCTGATAGACCCTGAAGGCAGTCAGGCGTCTGATGGCCCTGGGGACCAATCTGGAGCCCTTGCCTGACCTCTGTGAGCCTGGTTGCTGCATATGTAAAATAAGGGTTAAACTAGCTGCCTTGTGTTACATAAGGTGTGCTGTGAATTGCAGTGGGTACTCAGTTAAGGTTGGCCACTCCGGATAATGGAATTGATTAAGTCTTCCAGTAGGAATTGTCCTCAGGGGAAAGAAGCTTTTAAAGCACATTTTTGTCCTTATGAGTAATTCTCCCAGCGTTTGTCTCCCTACCCCAACCTGCAGTGAGTATTCTAGGACCCAGGATCACTGAGTCCAAAAGGAAGGATCTGAATAAAACGAGAAGCCAGCCAGCCGGGTCATTGGCAAGAAGTCAAAAGTGCATGTATAGGGACTTGCTAAGTTGCCTGGGCTGACCTTGTACTCCTGTTCCTTCTGCCTAGGCCTCCAGAGTAGCTGGGGTTACAGGGGTATGCAAACACATCTGGCTCTTTTTTGTTCATTTGTTCAGTGGGGGAAATGGTACTGAATTTGAGGGGCTTCTCGCTGATGGAAGGCACTGGAAGGAGAGTGGTAGCCCAAGGTGGGAGAAGGAGAAAGCAGGAGGGAAATAGTTGAATGTGGCTGATAGTGAAAGCTGGAAAGTTTGGCCTGGGGGACATCTCTGTTGGAGATTGGATCGGGCCCACGGGGACCAGTTTTTACCCAGGCCTGTAGTGTTTTGTGCTCAGCAGATTTTGACTGGTTGTGGTGGCGTTGTAAATGAGTTTCTAGAGTTAAGTTGTATGTTGAAAAGGAAATTAAATTCCAAGAGGGTATGTGTTGTGACTGATGCCAGAATTTCTCAGTATTTTATTAAGATCCAGTCAGTCTATAAAAGTACTCCTTAGTTCTCTGAAGATATTAATTAAGAAATCATTTAAAAAAATAGAAGCATCTCCTTTGTAAGCTTTTGAGGTGTCATCTTCCTAAATCTTTATTACAAATGAAGTTCAAAACATCATAGAGATTTGTATTTTAAAAGCTTTTCTTCTTGAAGGAAATGTTGTCTTTCTCTTCTCATTCTTTCCCTCCTCTCACATTGTTTTGATAATGAGTTAATTCTGGCTTCTTTCACATTTTGGCAGCCTGGCTTTTACATTCACCGGGCTTGCATGTGTCTTTTTTTTTTTTTTTTTTTTTTTTTTTTTTGTTTACTCGCTATGAAGAGGTGGTACAGCACGGTGATCAGCAGCGTGCCCTCGCTGGGGACAGTCTCTCCAGAGTTAGGCTCTTCACAGCTCAGACTTAATGGCTACAGCAGATTGTGGGGGAGGGTTTCTCATGTTATTCCCAATGTGTAGATGTGGAAATGGAACAGCAACACACGAATCCAGTCAGTTGTTACTCTTAGAGTTGGTGGTTGGTGGGGCACCAAGCCTGTGTTTCCCTTGATGCTGCAGAGTAGGCAGGGGCTTTGCTCGCTGTGCTGATAGGGTGCTGTCCTAGGAATGGGGAGCTTCATTCAGGAAGACAGGATGAGGTCCCTATGGAGAAAGGTGGCTTGGTAGGACTGTGGAGAATGAAGTGGAACAAGTAGAAATTCTAGAGGAAGGAGTTTTTTAAAGCACTTAGCTTGAGTTATGTTGGGGACTTGGAGGTGAGACACTCAGACAGTGGCTGTGGAGATGTAGAAAGAGGTAGACCTGTTAGAGGAGCTTAGCCCCTCTGCATATTGGAAGCGAGAGAGGGAGAAATCAAATGCAGGCCTTTCTTTTCCTCTCCTCTCTGCCTCCTTCCCACTGCAGTTCTGTGTGTTGGAGGTACCCTCTCCCTATAGACTAAAAGCAATCTTTATAGAAACCACAATTTCCTCCTTTGGTCTGTTGCTGACCGCTAGAGACCTGCATCTGCCTCCAGCCTGAAAGGGCCTTAGCCTTTCCTGCTTAGCCCCTGTGCTGATAGGGTGGAGGCCTCATTCCTCCCTCTGCTGAGGTATCTCCAAGGGCTGGAGGCAGGCTTCTCAGATCCCATTTAGGGAAATGCTGCCTTGAACATTTACACTTTAAAGAGAGTGCTAAAGGGAAGATACCACCAAAGAGGAAGCTTGCCTGGGGCGCACCCTGTACCTCCTTCTTCTGCTCTGTGAACTCCCCAGGGGAGTTCTGACTTTTCTCTGAGATTGATAGGCGGGGTTGGCTTGTCACCAAGCACACCAAGGTGGCTGAGGAAGGAGTGAAGAGGGGATGAGTCCGCAGTGGTGAGGGGCACCCACCCTCCCCTGAGTACTGAAGGCTGGGGGAGACCAGGCTGACTCAGGGGACCACGACCTGCACAGGGACTGAGAGGATGGCTGGTCCTCAAGTAGGACACACTGTTGCTGCGTGCGGAGTGCACGGGTCGGTGCCTTCTCTGATTCTCAGTGCCAGGCACAGTAGTGAACTTGCTGTCAGGCTTCCAGAATTCCTAATGCCCCTGCCCTTCAGGGATTTTGTTCTTGCTTTTGCCGGGCTGCAGACACATTGATCAGGTCTGGCTTTCTTTGGGCTGTGTTCTCTCTCTACCTTGTACCTCTGTTACCAACCCGCTCTGCTGGCTAGTCTCTGCGTGGGCTGCTCTGGCGCACTCTGCTGGGTGTTTACTTCTTTCCCAGAAGGAGTGACCTCTCTTCTCTTGTTCTAAGAGGACTGCTGAAGTGTCGAGCAGGAGCGTTTGGCTGATAGGGCACAGGTTTTAACTGCAGAAAACTGTTTTTGCCTGCATTAAAGCCTTTTAATCCTCATGCCTCTCTTGAACACTGTGTCCTAAGTAAAGCCTCTTCGCTGTTCTTTGGTGTTGTGCACATACAACACGTGTGTTGGGAGTATGTTTGTTTTAGTTATTACTGAGAAGCTAAAAAGATACTTAACAAATGTTGAAATCTCCAACAGTGCCACAGCTCTGGCAAACAGAAAGAATAAATATATATTTAGTCAGCATACCATTGATTTATCCCTCTTTTTCCCCATGTTTTGGCAGAACCATCTGATTTGTATACCGGTGCAGTTTGGATTTCAGTAGTGAGTGAGAAAGAGGCCTGGGCTGCTTGCCGAAGTGGAGGGACTCCAGGGCTCCGGGGCTGCCAGGCTTGGCTGGCTGTCCCCGCCCTCCCGGGAGCATGGAGCGGCAGTCGCGAAGGTGGAGCCTGGCCAGGTTCTTTCCTTGGCTTGCTTGAGACCAGCTCTGTTGGGGACAGTGGGAG